TATCCTGTTTGTGGTATGATAATGTCAGGTGTCTCTTACACCTGTTTAAGGTATTGGCAGAACAGAGGATAAAGTTAAGTTTAGGGAATTGAGAGGGGTATATCTGATCTGTTTAAGGTGGATCCCTGGAACTCACAAGAATTCTTTGGGTTTGTGAAAACATGTTTTAGACATATGCATTGTATAAACAGTAGCATATTTATGTCAGAATGACTGTGACCGATGTTTTTGCACAATGAAAAGTATTTTTAAGACTAGGACATGAGAGAGAAATAACGTGTATTTGTCCTCACACTTTTTCTAACTTGCAGGTATACACCTTAATAACTTGTATTTGTGTTTTACTGAAATTTGTTTGGTGAGGTTGTCCTTTTAAACTGACAAAACCTCTCAGCTATCAAACTGTATCAGAGATCTTTGAGAAGAATAAAATTTTACTTGAGTTATTAATTAAAAAATGACAGAGAACTTACTTGGTTGGCACCTAGAGCTACTTCTCAGGGTCCTCCATGATCACTGAGGGTCATATCTGCCTTTCGCTGTTTAGCGCAGGGCCTGCCAGGCTCCAGAAGATCCTGTGGGTTAAGAAATCTGCAGGAAGAAAAACCTATTTGAGCTGTGCAGCGAGGCTATCAATTCCAGTGATTCTGTCCACTCTCTGGAGATTGTCAGTTTAGATGGAAAGTAGTGTCGCCCAGTGGTCAGCACTTGGCAGTTAAAGCAAACTGCGAATGGATGTTGTTCTGTGCCCATTTGTCTTTGTCTTCTTTGAAGGAAATAGAGTGCTGCTGCTAGGAGCCAATCTGTCTCTTTCTGTTATGAAAAGTCTTTTAATAATTAAGCATTTAAATGTCATAGTTCCCCAGATCTCTGAGCAGTTGAGGGCTGTTTACCAGGTATAGATGAGTTATAACTACAGTATAGAATCTGCCTGGAGAGCTGGGTCCAAGCTTGGCTGTACTGGCTCTCAACTTAACAGGTAAAGCAGGGTTGGATTAAGAGACTTAAAAGTACATACCAAATTAAAATATGAGACTTACTGTTTTGTTAGTCTGGAATGAGATATAATGAACAGAATATTAGAACATTGAACAGTAAACCTAGATGCATTTAAGTTACATATATGCACACACACACACACACACACACACACATACACACACAGAGAGTGAACAGAAATTGGGCAAAGTGGATGCTCTTGTTGGGCCCTACCAAAGGCATGCCACTGTGCAAAACACACATGCAACAGAGTCAGCACTGGGAAACCAGGCAGGGAATACCTCAGTAAAGATGGCAGGACATGGGCACCTGACCTGGCTCTCAGTTAAGATGGTGGTAAGGTCACTTGACCTCTGTCAAAATGGTGGCAGACACGTGTTGCATGGAAAAGCCACATTTTTTTGAGCTGTGTGAGTTTTAAACATAATAACAAGAGGGACCTAAAGGTGTGATCTGCCCTGTTGCTAAGCCACCACACCACAAGCCGTGGCAGGGAGCAAAGGCTGGAATTGAAAACAGCTGCCTTGAGGATCCGACTAACCTTGTTGTTTCCGCAAGACCAGCGGTAGTGGTGGCAGGGATAGTTTGAGGAAAAGCAGAGCTGGCGGGACACTGGTAGAGCATTCACAGGCGGGTGGCTGATAGTTTGAGGGTTTATACCATAGTTGAAAATGTGAAAACCTGTGAAAATAGAGAACGAACACCACAGGGCCTATAGAAGAAGCATGTCTCTTCTCTACTGGGGGTGGGGGTGTTAAAACCTGACTGGATACAGTCGGGGCAACTAGGAAGGCAGAGGCTAGAGGCCATTCCAAGGGGTCTCTCACGGTGGGGATCACTTATAAGTGGCCCAAAGGAAAAGAAAAGAAGAGCAGAGAGAGAGAGAGAGAGAGAGAGAGGGGAATGGGAAAAATGGGGAGAAATGAGCAAGGCAGAAGCTGCCTCTTTGGGAGAGAGATAGGAAGGAGCCCCAGGCTGGAAGCAGAAGGAAGATCTGCTTGTCCCAGTGGCGGTAGGGGAATGGGCGGGGCTTGTCTCTTAAAGGGACAGGACAGACCATTATAGAAATCCCCTCAAAATACACCAGAAATGAATCAGTTTTAGTCAGCACAGTTAGAATTCAAAGAGTCTTGAATTCAAGTCAGAAAAATAGCTGCTATATAAAACGCAAAGGCAGAGAGGCTCCTTAGATAGCCCCATATTCTGCAATGGACTGTAGCATTGGGACCACTGTCAGACATGTGCAGCCTAAGTCCATGCTCCATGGGCTGAGCAAGTGTGTCTAGGCTGGATACTAACAGCTTTTATAGCTCTGAGAAAGTCAAGGAAAATTGTTGGGTATAGTAGGGTGTGCTGTGCACTCCTAGCACTCAGGAGTCAGAGGCAGGTGGATCTGTGGGGACATCTCCTTTATTCTTCATTATTGCGAATTATGCAGAAGGCCCAGCCCACTGTAGTCTTGGTTCCATGTCAGTCAGAACTACACAATGAGTGCCTGTCGCCAAAACAAACAAATGAATAAATGGGAAAAGAAAAAAAAAGAAGTGCACATAGATAAAGAATAACATAAATCAACCCTTATGATTAAAAAATGGAGTTAAACATAAATTCTATAATTATCACAATAATCTGTGAATGCTATTTATATTGTTGGAGAAATTAAGTTATTTAAATGAGAAGCTGCTGTGGAACATTCCTTTTCACTGTGTGAAGATGCGTCACTGTGATTGGCTAATAAGGAACTGAATGGTTAATAGCTAGGCAGGAAGTATAGGCGGAACCTCTGGGGACAGAGAGCTCTGGGAAGAAAGAAAGTCGTCAGCCAGTTGGAGAGGAAGCAGCAGGGGCAGTACAAAGTCAAGGTAACTAAGTCACGTAAAGGAAAGTAAAGTAAAAGATATGGTTTAACTTAAGTTATAAGAACTAGTTAGAAACAAGGCTAAGCTATTGGCCAAGCTTTCATACTTAATAATTAATCTCCATGTCATTATCAGGGAGACAAGGGGCCTGAGGAAGAAGTACAAATACAAGAAGCTATACTGTCAATTTTAATTTCTTATGTTTCCTTTTTTTGTTGTTGTTGTTGTTTTGGTTTTTTTTTTTTTTTTTTTTTTTTTTTTTTTTTTTTTTTTTTGGAGATAGCCCTGGTTGTTTGTCCTGGAACTCTCTATAGATCCAGCTGGCCTTGAAGTCAGCCCGGCTCTGCCTTCTGAGCGCTGGAGTTAAAGGCATGCACCACCACTGCCCAGTTCAAGTTTACTTTTTTATCGTGTGTATGCAGATGTGTGCACCCGTGCATGCCATGGTGCACATGTGGGGTCAGAAGCTGGCTTTCAGAGTGGGCTCTCTGCTTCCACCACGTGAAAACCAGATAGGCTGCCTCACTCTTTGTAAGATGAGTAGGACTTCACGAGAGGCTGCACAGGACAGGGATTACTGTCCACTCCTTTAGTTTTGCTGAATAATTTAAAATATGTTCATATTTGGTATGTGTGTGGTCTCCACATGTGGAGGTCTGACATGGGTTTGGCTGCCTTCCTCTAGCGCTTTACCACATATGTGTTGAGGCAGGCTCTTTCCTTTGAGGTCGGAACTCATGGATCCATCTAGCCTAGCTAGTCTCGCTCTTGGGGTCCTGGTTCCAGATGTTTCCAGGTGGGTAGCCCTGTGGATTCTGGGGATCTGAACTCTGGTCTTTAGGGATTTGCAGCAAGTACATTCTCTGCTGAATCGTCTCCCCAGCTTTACAATTCACTGTTTAAAGTGTATAAAGCAATTTTCATACTATTTATTCAGAATAGGACATCACCAGAATCTTGTATTTTCCTCACCCCCAAAAGAAATCCCATTGTCAGCAGAAATCGCTTTCCACATTTCTCCATTTCCTTTTCTCCCTCCCTGTACAACATCAGACGTAGGAATTACCAATTGACTGTAAGTACAGATTCGACTGTTGTTATTGCCCGGTGCTATGTCCTATGCACACGACACATTGAGTTTGCCTTTTCATAGGCTGGCAGACATTCGGGTTATTCCCACTCCTTGGCCATTATGAATAATGCTGCTGTCAATACTCACCCGCAAGTGTAGACACAGACACATTTCCAGACCCAGACCCAGGAGTAGAATTGCTGGGTCACGTGATAACTTTGTATTTCATCTTCTGAGGAACTGCTAGGCTGTCTCCAAGGCAGATCTATAACTTTATAGTCCTACCAGCAACACACAGAGGTTTAAACTTCTCTGCATTCTCTCTGACTCTTGATACTGTCCTTAAATAAACAAAACAAAACAAACCACAACACTCTGACGTTAGAAGGTGGTATCTTATCAGAGTTTTGATTTGCATTTGTATTTCAAGGAAATGGTGGTAGTGAGTGGTACGACCATCAGGAGTATCTATGTGTAGACCTTCTAGGGGAAAACATCTAATTTAGGTGCTGGGGAGATGGCTTGGTCAGTAAAGTGCTTATGACACAAGCATGAGGATCTAAATCTGGACAGTCGGCATGCACATAAGACATTCAGGAATGATTGGCCGGGTGGTGGCAGCGCACACGTTTAATCCCAGCACTCAGGAGGCAGAAGCAGGAAGATCTCTGTGAGCCTGGTCTACAAGAGCTAGTTCCAGGACAGGCTCCAAAGCTACAGAGAAACCCTGTCTTGAAAAACAAACAAACAAACAAACAGAAAAAAACAAAAAAAAAGAAAGGAAGGAAGAAAAATAAACAAACAAATAAATCCGGGAATGATGCTGCTTGCACCTGCATCCAGTGCCGGAGATGCAGAGCCAGGTTCCTGGGGCTCACCACCCAGTTAGTCTAACTAAATCCGTGAGCTCTGTGTTTAATAAGAGACCCTGTCTCAAGGAAATAAGGCAGAGAACAATAGAAGACACCCAGTATCAGTCACATGTCCTGCACATATATGTGTGCATACATGTGAACATATACAACACACCCTACACATACAACAACACCTAATTTGAATATTTTCCCATTTTAATTGAGCTGTCTTTCTTGTTATTGAGTTGCAACTGCACGTATCCAGGTATAGATGTCTTTCTATTATGGAAAATAGTTCTTTGGTTTCCTTATGGAAATAAACAAGCTTCAGTTTGACCTGTTGATCACATGTGAAGAAACAAGAGTGAAAGCCTGTGGGCCCAGAGAGATCCTTGGGGTATAATCATAACAGGTACAATTCATCCTCTGGGCCTGCCACTTGCCCCCCACCCATGCACACGCAGATGCCCCACCCTGCCCCATTCAGGGTAGATTTGGTCTTACTTAGCTGGAGAGAAAGGGTGGGGATAAGAGGCCAGTTGTTAGTGGAGGAGCCTCTTAGGTGCCATTTTTCATACTTCCTGGGAAATCACCCTTTGCCCTCACCTTGGCCACTTTCAGGGTCAATGTCCAACCCTCCCCCCCATGCCCACAGTTCTCTTCACAGTAATTTATCTGGCTCATGTGGGCGGGCTCTTGAGGTGGGGCTGCCAAGGCAGGCTCTGGAGGGTGCTCGTTTCTGCTCCCAGACTGTGGCGTTTCATTGAGAAGGAACAAATGGTGACTGTTCTGCTAAGCCACACAACAAGCTGCTTTCTCCTGCCTGTGACCTTTACCCAGGAAGAGGCCAAGCACACTTGTCAAGCCTCTTCATTTGCTGCAAAGAATATGTGGTAAACAGACCAAGAAGGCTCTCATTGTCATCGAGTTTCTAGAAGCCACCGGAACTTTGCACACAGGGCACAATTTTGCTGTGGAAATGGGTTACTTGAAGATTTTATTTGGTTGGATTTCGGTTGGCCTGGATGATGGATGGCCAGTACCTTGTCAATGTGATGATTACCACAGCAAACATGTTGATTCACTTTTAATTCGTGCCTTTTCCTACAGTGCTTGCTCACGGAGTCCTGGTTTCTGGAGAGTTTTCCAGAGAATAATCTTTTAAGGGATCAGAAACTTCTGCCTTTCCAGGATCGGTCTGTTGTGGACCGCTGAGGGCTTTTGAGGAATGCAGTATGTCTTGGCATGATGTCCTTTCTTATTCCCATTGGTCTTGGTGATGCTTGGCCTGCTTTGGGTCATCTTCTACCTGCAAATGCGGACATTAAGGACAGAGTTGAGAGGTGAATAAAGACCAAATCCTTACTGGTATAACTGAGGTCAGAATCACCCACTTTGGCATTCCTTGTGGGCTTTTCTCTGTCCAGGGCATCTTAGCTGATATACACACATTTCCTCAACAGGTCAGATGTAAAACAAACTCCTCAGCAAACATTTACAAATACACTGGCATGGCTCGGGTTTCAGCAAGATGCACACTCCAAAGGACTTCTGAGGACCTTGTGGTTTCATGGTGAGGAACTGGAGATGGACTCGAACAATAAGGTTCCAGCCACAGGACCATGTAACCATGAGAATGCCCTGAGAGGTCAAATTTTTTGTTTTATATATGTTAAATTTTATCAATCCGTACACAAGATGTACATTTTTCATTTAATTTAAAAAGTAAAAAAAAAAGTAACAAGAAGAAATTTCCTAAGTGGTTCATTTTTATTATCTTATTTTATGCATATGAGTGTTTCGTCTGCATATATATGCACCATGTATGATCCTAGTACCTGTTGAGGTCAGAAGAAAACATCAGATTACCCAGAACTGGAGTAAAATTCAGGTCTTTTGCAAAAGCAAGGAATACTCTAAACCTTTGCGGTGGTGTGAATGAGAGTGGCCCCCATAGACTAATGTTTGAATGGCTTGGTCCTCGGTTGGTGGAATTGTTTGGGAAGGATTAGGAAGTGTGGCCTTATTGGAGGTGTGTCCCTAGGGGTTGGCTTTTCAAAAGCCCAGGTCAGCTGGGCAGTGATGGTGCATGTTAATCTCAGCAGTCAGGAGGAGGAGGCAGGCAGATCTTTGAGTTCAAGCCCAGCCCGGTCTACAGAGAGTTCCAGGACAGCCAAGGCTACATGGAGAAATCCTGTCTAGAAAACAAAACAAAACAAAAACAAAAACAAAAAAGTTTTGTGTCATTCTCAGTTTGCGCTTTCTGCTTCGCGGTTGTTGTCTCAACATGCAAGCTCTCAGCTACCACTCCAGCACCATATCTGTCTGCCTGCTGCCCTGCTCCCTGGCATGACGGTCATAGGCTCACCCTCTAAAACTGCAAGCAAGGCCCCAAATAAACTCTTTTCTTCAAGTTGCCTTGGTCATAGTTGTTGTGCCCAAATCCGCGAAGTCCTCGCAAAAGCCAACAAGGAGACCAAGTTCCCTATGTAAAAGCAAAGAGCCTTTATTTTATACAGGCTTTATTTTATTTCGGTCTCTCTGCATGTCCAATGTATTAGAATAAATGGAGAGCCCCAAGCTCAGTTAGAATAGGGTTTTATAGTAGTAAAGGTGGGGGTGAGGGGTTTCTGAGATTTAGGACTCCTGATTAGCTGACATTTGTCTAGGGATGTCTTGGTGAGTGTGTACTGGCAGGTGATCCTATCTACAGTGGTTGGAATGTTAGGCATTTCCTTTGGATGGTCTGTTCTTGGGTGGTGCTCAGGTAATCTCAGCTTGTGGCTCTTCCTGCAACCAGGTACTGCTTCAGGGTAAACTGAAGCCCAGGCCTCTTGTTAAATTTATCGGCTGAGTCCTACTCTGGCAGGTGGTAATGGTTGGAAGTAAAGAAATTCCTTTGGGTGACCTGCCCATACTTAGCTTATCATGGCTGGCTCCCACAATAGTGTATCTTCACAGCAATAGAAAAGTAATTAAGAACCATCCATGAGCCATCTCTCCAACCCTCCCTCCTTTTGAGACAGGGTCTCCCAGTACATACCCCTGGTTGGTTTGGAACTTGCAATGTAGACCAGGATGGTCTTAAAGTCACAGAGACTAGCCTGGTCTACAAGAGCTAGTTCCAGGACAGGCTCCAAAACCACAGAGAAACCCTGTCTCGAAAAACAAAAAAAAAAAACAAAAAAAAAAAAACCCCACAGAGATTCACCTACCTCTCTCTACTAATTGCTGGTATTAAAGGTGTATGCTCCCATGCCTGGCAACTAATGAACCTTTAAAAAAGAAAAGAATGAACAACCAGGAATCTTATAGGTAGTAGCATCAAAACACCCATCTTGTCTTAATGCAATTCTAATGAGCAAAGGAAAGATTCACTGGCCACTGAAGAATCCAAGTGTAACGTAAACTCCAGGTCTGGCTTGATTTGGTGCTCAGGCAATGCTGCTGGGACTCAATTTCCAGACAAGTTGAGGTCATGTCTCAGGACTTGTATTAGTCAGGGTCCTCTAGAGGAGTGGTTTTCAACATGTGGATTATGGACTGTTTGGGGAGGGAGTGTCTAACAACCCTATCCCAGGGGTCACACAACCGTTTCACAAGGGTCACATATCAGATATTTACATGACAATTTATAACAGTAGCAAAATTACAGCTATGAAGTAGCAACAAAAGGATTTTATGGCCGGGCGGTGGTGGCGCACGCCTTTAATCCCAGCATTCGGGAGGCAGAGACAGGCGGATCTCTGTGAGTTCGAGGCCAGCCTGGTCTACAAGAGTTAGTTCCAGGGCTGGAGAGATGGCTCAGTGGTTAAGAGCATTGCCTGCTCTTCCAAAGGTCCTGAGTTCAATTCCCGGCAACCACATGGTGGCTCACAACCATCTGTAATGAGGTCTGGTGCCCTCTTCTGGCCTGCAGGCACACACAGACAGAATATTGTATACATAATAAATAAATATTTAAAAAAGAAAAGAAAATGTTTAAAAAAAAAAAGAGTTAGTTCCAGGACAGGCTCTAAAACTACAGCGAAACTGTGTCTCAAAAAACCAACCAACCAAACAACAACAACAAAAAAAACCCAATTGTATGGTTGGGGTCACCACAACCTGAGGAACAGTATTAAAGGGTCTCAGCATTAGGAGGGTTGAGAACCACTGCTTTAGAGGAACAGAAACAACCGGCCATACAGTGCCTCAGAAGTCCTCATCTGGTGCTGAAAGCCTGGAAGCTTCTGGAAGAGCCTCTAGTGAAAGCCTGGAAACACTGGTTCTGTTATCGGTGGAGAAAATCAGCGGCAGCAGCAGCAACAGAGTAAATCAGCTCATTAACAAGAGGGCAGGCCAAGGAAGCGAGCTAATAATCTTCCTTCTGCCACACCTTTTTTATCTGGGGCGCTACCAGAAGGTGCCGCCCACATTTGGGGCGGGTCTTCTCCGATCAACTAAGGCAACCAGGACAATTCCTCAGGTAAAGCTCCCTACTCAGGTGATTATAACGTGTGGCAAACTGACATTAAAACCAGCCATCACAGGCCCCAAAGTGGCCACTCAGTTCTGGGTCCCCCCCCCCCCCCCCCCCCCCCCCCCCCCGGGTTGGCAAGGTAGAGGGTGTTTCTCCAGATCTATTTGTACATCCTCAGCAGCAAGTTCACTGGGGGGAGAAATGTGCCCTTTCTCTTACCCTAGCCCTAGGAAAGTCATAGTCTCATTGGTTCCAGCTGGACCACATACACGCTGACGGACCAATCACTGCGACTGTGGAAATACAATGCACAGCCAAGGTCACATGATTTTCCTCAGCGTTTTTTTCCAGGCAAAAAGACAACTTCCTTTCTTTCCCAGGAACTCTCCTGGAGCCACTGGGCCTCCTTCAGCCCCTTTGGTATCAGGGTCCTCACCATCTTTTGCCCAGTGCCTGTGAATTGCAGTTACCTGGTTCGCCTAGTCACCCAGATGCCTACAAGGGAGATAGGTCACAGGCCTGGTTCCTATAGTTCCTATCCCTAGTGTTCTCACCTGGCCTCTGAGGTTGTCAGCATCTTTGTCCAGGGCAGTCTATTAGGTGAGTGAGTCCTGTCCTGGGGTGATTTGGTGGTGTTTGGGTGCCCCCACTGCTCCCTTCCCTTCCCCCTTTAACAGAATGGCGATTGATGACCACTCAAGAGGGCCGGCAGCCCATTCCATTAACCACGGCCGTTGTCCATGGCTAACTCTGCCACTCTAAGTGGCTCAGCTGCAGATGGTCCACGGTACCTTCTCTTGGTGTCTGTACCCCTCCATGATGTCACCTCATGGCATCCATTCCTACTCAGGAGGGTCTTTGTATGCAAACTCGAGCTACTTGGATGTGTGTGTCGTGTGTGTGTGTGTGTGTGTGTGTGTGTGTGTGTGTGTGTGTGGTGTTGGGGAAGGTAATGCCTTCCTTAAGTTCCAGGCTAGCTGCACCTATAACTACTTTCTGGACCAGGGTAAACTTGATGATGTACGATCCAAAGCTGCCTTAAGTATTAAATCAGTTAAAACAAACAGCCTCAGGTTGAGGGTATCAAAGGTGGCTCCCGCTGAGAAAATCTGCCGACAACATACTTGCGCGCATTCAACACAGAGTGCCTTCAAAGTGCTGAACTGGGAGCAAGGCAGGCGCACCGGTAAGAGGAGCTGTTGCGGATTGCCGGCTGGTACATTAGCGACCTCTGGTGGTGGGATTTCCCTCTCCCTTTGCACAGAGGTAAGTGTCCCCTCCAAGACCATACTTGTGTCGCCTTCTGAGATGCCGTACTGCAGATGCCCAGGGAGAGCAGAGCTTGAGGGCTTCCCTACTAATGCTTTGATTGGGGGCCTCAGCTGCCAGCAGTCTGAGGCTTTTGTCTTTGCCTCCACAAACTTCCTCTCAAAGCGTGTTCACTTTCAGATACACTTATATTTTATTTTAAAATTCTCAAAAAGGGTGCCGGAGAGATGGCTCGGTAATTAAGAATGGGTACTGCTCTTGCAACGAGCCTGCGTTTGGTTCCCACATCAGCCTCCTACAAGCGATTGTAACTCCAGCTCCAGAAGGACCCAACGCCTCTGACTTTTGCAGGCTTCTGCAGACACATGTAGATTCCAACACACAGACACACAAAGTTAAAAATAAAAAAATAAAAAAAAAACGAATCTTAAAACAAAATTCTCAAAGAGGGAGTAGGCCAGCGCCCGAATAATGGAATTCACTCTGTGAGACCTAAACGGTTTGAAGGAGAGAACTATCTCCTGAAGGTTGTCCTTTTATCTCCACGTGTTCCTGCGCGCACACGTGCACATGCATACAAAATAAACAAATGTAAAAAAACCAAAACGAAAAAACAAAATTCAAAAATACTATTCCCAAAACAATTGCCACTACCCAAACAAGTCTGTTTTCCCCCCCCCTTTTTTTTTAAGAGACAAGGTTTCTATGTAGCCCTGACTGTCCTGGAATCTGCTATTTAGACCAAGCTGTCCTTGAACTCACATGGTTTTCCTGCCTCTGCCTGCCTACTGATAAACTTTCATGCATTCATAAATAATAAATAACAAAAATACCACCCCCCAGCATTTTACAACACATCAAAGTGAAATGAATACTGAATAAGGTTACTCTTCCGGTCCGCACTGGCACCTAGGTGCTGAGGTAATATTTATAGATACACAAATTACACCTCCTCTCGCTACCCCTCACCTAACTCACAAACCAACGCAAAATGCTGCCATCGTTCACGCTTGAGCCGCGTCTAAGTCAAGCAGACCTTTTGAACAATCCAGGCACATCTGTCCTGGGGGACTCCAGCCCAGGAAGTCAGGCTGCCAAGTTGAAGCCATTGTGGCAGATCTTCCAGGATCCTATAGGATTTTTGCTGTTTGTTTCTGAACAACTTTTCCCCAAACCTTTTGTCTTTGTGGGGCCACCGGGTGGCACTTGAGAGCCTTTTCCAGCGTGAGGTTCGCCTGTGGGCGGAGTCTCTGCAGCCATGTTCACTGCAGGGCTCTGACTCTATACTCAGAGCTCATTGGGCCAGAGGCTAACTCCTGACCATGCAGGAACCAATCCTCGCACAGGGGGCGTGGTTGTCGGAAACATTCCCTTGCCTGGGAACGACCGCGTCTTCCACTTACAGCTCGGGAGAGCCGCGGAGTCCCTCAGCGCTGAGAGAACACAGGATGATTCTCAGAGAGTGGAACGCAATTTAGATGAAATGTCGTGAGGAGATGTTTGTGCTTCCCGTTGAATTTTTGCTAAGCCTCCTTGGATTCTATCGTACACTATTCTTCCCTTCCACCGTGGTATTTGTTTAAGGAAGGAAAGTTCTCGAAGACACGGGCTTTTATTAAACTGACGTTTAAGAGTTTAAAATATAGAGCAGAATTCTGAAAAGCTCTGCGAGCTCAGACTTTAAATTCATGCAAATCACCAAGAAACCCATAATGGGATGTTTTTTTTTTTTGTTTTTTTTTGTTGTTGTTTTTTTTTTTTGGTTTTTTTTTTTGGTTTTTCGAGACAGGGTTTCTCTGTGGTTTTGGAGCCTGTCCTGGAACTAGCTCTTGTAAACCAGGCTGGTCTCGAACTCACAGAGATCCGCCTGCCTCTGCCTCCCAAGTGCTGGGATTAAAGGCGTGCGCCACTGGGATGGGGTTTTGTCTAGCAGGACTTTGTGTTTAAATGAGAATGAGACACAGAAAACCTTTCCCCCAATTTGTTTCTGTATTTGCTATAAAAATCTATCTAAAATGCATAAACAAAAGCAAAAGATTGAAAACAAAGGCCCACCATTACCCATCACACAATTACAGATTAGGCAGCTGTTGAAAGGACAACATGGATGGAAGGTTCCCACATTCTGTTCTAAAGAAACTTGTGTGTAGTGTTATATCCTAAAAAAGGATAAGAAAATCCAAGTGCATTCACACACACACACACACACACACACACACACACAGATTGATTGGCATCTATGGAATAATTGTATCATGTGAAAAAATGTTTTCATGTACATGTATTATCTCGTGAAATACACAGTGGGCTCGCGTATATACAACTGTACTAGCCCGCTTTTCACCTTTACCGTCTTTATACTTAGGACCCTTCCTAGTAGACATTTCTCTTACCCCTCAGAGTGCCTGGAAACTGGGTGGATCTTCATGATTGTCTACACTGCTCGAGTCCCATCCCCCTGCTGCACTTCCTCTTATTTGTGAATTAATAGTGCAATCAGGTGGGGTGTGAAAGTTCACTATTGCTTGCTCCACACAAAGTGAACCGCGGAAGGGTGTAGTTCGTGGACTGGGGAGTTGATGTCTGGAAGGAGAGGAATCGCCCAGTAAGTGAACAGGGCGTCTTATCTGCATTCTCAACACCTAGGCCTGGGGAGTCCTTGGCATGGGCCTGCAGGCTCTGTACCCAGGAATTAGTGAAAGCAATACCCTTTCCCCCAGATTCTTTTAAATACAGATTAGAGCATCTGGCGCAGAGCCTGGATGAGCTGGCTGATGTTGAATGTTGGGTGTCGTTTTGATCAGCTTCTCTTCAACATCCCCTCCAAGGAGGTTATACCACTTAACGTTAGGAGAGACCGAGTGTCTGCTATGATGCTGGCCTGTTCTGTTTGAATTCAGTTTCCAAGGGGATTGTTAGTGGTTTGTCGTTGAATGTTCATATTGTTGTTGTTGGCAGGATCTCACTGTGCAGCCTCGGCTGGCCTCTGGCTCTTTGGTTGTTGTTGTTGAAGGTCTGATTTTGTGTACGTGAGATTATAATAGAATTACATCATTTCTCCCTTCTCCTTCCTCCCTCTAAACCTTCTTCCAACATACCTCTCCTTGCTCTCTTTCAAATCCCTAGCCTCTTTTTTTTTCTCATTGATTGTTGTTATACGCATTCCTAAATATAACCTGCTTAGTCTGTACGCTGTTACTGGTATGCGTGCTTTCAGGGCTGACGCGCTTGGTGTTGGTTGACGGTTGGTGTGCTCATCCTTGGGGAAGACCATTTCTCCACTCTCTGCATTTGCTAATTGTCTGTAGTTCTTCATGTAGAGCTTTCCTCTTTCCACGCTGGCATGACTATCCGTGTTGTCCTTGTTCGGCTCATATTTATTTAGGCAGTCATGTTGGGGAGACTTTATGGGTGGAGCTGCTGCCATCTGACTGTGTGACAGTCTCACGGCAGGCAAGCTTCCTGATGCTCTGGCCTCTGACTCTCAATCCTCCTGCCTCAGTCGGCTGAGTGCTAGCAAGTCATGTGTGCCGTCACATTACGGCCCAGAACTTGCACACAGACGCAGTGATGTTGTTGTTTGTGGGTGCAGTGACGGCTAACCCCTCCCCAACCCCAATTTTACAGGAACAGGTATACAGATGGAGTCCTGTATATCATGTGTCTGAATACTTTAAAGTTATAAATCCAGCCTAAGGGTCTTAATTAATATGTTCTATTCTGTACGCAGTCTCGGGTTGTTAGATGTGGGAGAGCAAGCAGCCGTTCCAGCGATGAGTCAGCTTGGCTCTGGCAATGTCTGGCAGCTCACGCCAAGTCAATAGCCGTTTTCTAGCTGACATGTCATTTCCTTGTCCTTCCATTAGAGGGACCAGGATGTGTGTGAGTGTAATCGATTGCCCCGGTTTTCTGGCTACAGTATTATGCCGCAGAGTCTACTGAAGGAACTTGATCTCTGCAGAGGCCAGTTTGTCCCACAGATTCTGCCTTTCTTCTAAGCTTTGGCCTTCTCCATAGGTGACCGGTTTGAATGGAGTATTTATTTGACCATCTTTCAGATACTGGCATTCTCTGGAACTCTGGCTTCTTTCTCATATAAGCTTCACAGGGGTGCCTGTCATTGCCAGGTGCAATCATCCTAAAACCAAAAGATGATCCCTGACCCCTCCCTAGCCCTCATGTCTCAAATCCAAACCATGAGCAAGTCCTGCTGATCTTACTCCCTAAGTATCTCTCAACGCTTCCCTTTTCTTCCCTTCGTCACTGCTGACTATAATCTGGGCCACTGCCAGCTCCAGCACAGCCCCTTCCTAAGGCCGTCTCACTCTGTAGACCAGGCTAGGCGTGAACTCACAGAGTCCCAGCTCCTGCGTTCTGAGTACTGGGATCAAAGGCATGGACCATGAGACCTAACCACAGAGACTCTTTTACAATAAGACAGTGGCTAAAATGCCTTCCCTCGGGCCTGGGAAGTTGCCTCCTAAGTAAAGTACTTGCTGCACAAGCACGAGGACCCGAGTTTGATTTCCAGAACTCACATTTACAAAAAAGCAAAACGAGACCGGATAACCAGTAAGGTGGCTCCTCTCAGGGAGAGGCCAATGCTCCCAGCAGTCATTGGTTGCCTATATTTTGTTTTGATGGGATCCCATGAAAAATTCCCCTTCCATGTTAGCATGTCTATTGCTATTGCTATTGCCATTGTTTCGGTCTTTTGTTTACACACACACACACACACACACACACACACACACCAAGAATAATCAAAAAAAGAGGCTATCAGTTTGAGAGAGGGGCCATGGGAGGGGTGGGAGGGAGGGCTCCTAGAAGGACCTAGAGGGAGGAAAGGAAAAGGGGAAAGTGATCCTATTCTAATTGTCATTGAAAATGTATCTTTTAAAAATGGGGGTGGTGTAGTGGTGCTTGCTTGTAACCTCAACACTGAGGAGGCAGAGCCAAGCAGATCCCTAGGGATCCCTGGCAGCCAGCCTACTCTCCTTGTTAAACTCCAGGCTAAAGAGAGACCCTGTCTCAAAACACCAAGGCAAATAGAATCTGAGGAATACCACCTGAGGTTCACCTCTGACCTTCGCAGGCATGCACCCACACGAACACATACATACACATACAAAATAACTTTCCTTGTCTTAACCTGCTCAGAATCACTCACCGGCCCACTCTTTCCTCCTTCCCCTTGTCCACATCTTCCTCCCTCCCTTCCTTTTCTTCCTTTGGACTGAACTCAGGGGCTCCCATATGCCAGGCAAGCACTGAGCCACACCTCCAACCTCAGTGCCTTTGTGCCGCTCTTCATACAAGACTCAGATCTCAGCATGACACGAAAGGCCCTACATGCGACAGCCCTTTGTCCTTCTGTTTGATCTCAAGCCCATTGCTCCTGCTTTTTGTTCACAACTGGCCCCCCATGCACCATGATCTCTCCAGAGGCAGACCTCAGCACACCCATTCCTCAAGCCCTCTCCTGGTTAGCTGTTTGTAGATGGAGACTGCTCTTGCATTCCTGGTTGCCCAGACCCAAATAATCACACAGAAACTATTAATTGCAACACCCCTTGGCCAATGACTCAGGTATATTTCTAGCTAGCTCTTACATCTTTAACTAACCCATCTCTATTAATCTGTGTCTTGCCATGAGGCAGTGACTTACCGGTAAAGGTTTTGGGCATCTGTCTCCTTCAGCAGCTACATGGCGCCTCTTTGACTCCATTTACTCTATCTCTGTATCTCTTCTAGCCTGGCTATATTTGCCCTGCTACAGGCTGAAGCAGCTTTACTTATTAATCAATAAAGGCAATACATATACAGAAGGATGTCCCACATCAGCTCTCTTACACTATCCTTAAGATCTCAACTTAAATGCTACTTCTTCAAGGTCTCTTTTGGACATGTTGCTCCATTGGATAGTCTCCTAGAGCCATGAGCCTCTTCTTCATAGCACTTAAAAGTGGTCATTTATCCATTTCTTGTGTTTCCCACTGGAGAGTGAGACCTGTTTTCTGCTTCTCTTCCTGGATTCTCGGTGCCTAATGCAACTCTGCTTCGCATGACTGAAACACGGCTCTTGAATACACACTTGTTACTAGTCTCACCCTCGGAATCTCTGACCGTGTGTCTCGTTGTCTGTAGGCAACTTCATCCTTCCAATTGCTCAGGCTGCAACAGTCATCCTTGATTCCTTTTCCTTACCTCCTGCTACCTAAACACCAACAAAAACTATGAAATCTA